GTTTAGGAGTCGCCGTCGTAGCTCATTGAACACGTCTTCTTGCTCGCTTGTCCAGGTGAAAGGCGTGTCTTCTTTCGTCAGTCGGGTTAGTGGTTCCGCAATCTTCGAAAAATCTTTGATGAATCTTCTGTAATAGGCACAAAGTCCTAAGAATAGTCTCACAGCCTTTTTATCCTTCGGTCTAGGAAACTTTTCTACAGCTGCTGTCTTTTCAGGGTCAGGTCGAATGCCTTCAGAGTTAACCACATGACCGAGGAAAAGGAGTTCATGAAAACCAAAATGACACTTTTGGGGTTTTATCGTCTTCCCTGCTGAACTAATCGCTTTGAGCACAGTCCGTAGTCGTTCCACATGCTGATCAAAGGTGGCCAAAAAGATCACGTCATCAAAATAAACAAGGCAGGACTGCCATTTTAACCCGGACAGCACAGTGTCCATCATCCGCTGAAATGTGGCGGGTGCGGAACACAGGCCAAATGGGAGTACCTTGAACTCGTATAACCTATCTAAGGTGACGAAAGCAGTTTTCTCGCGATCTCGTTCGCCCACATCTATCTGCCAGTATCCGCTGTTGAGGTCTAGAGAGGAAAAGAATTTCGCGTCTCGTAGTCTGTCAAGGGTGTCATCAATCCTTGGAAGTGGATAGACATCCCGCTTTGTGACGACGATCAATTTTCGGTAGTCAACACAGAAGCGCAAAGTATGGTCTTTTTCTTTACCAGCACTACAGGTGAGGCTCATGGGCTGGCCGATGGTCAAATTACATCGTCTCTAAACATTTCTTCAACTTGGCCTCTGATGACTTCTCTCTCTTTTGGTGACACTCTGTACGGGTGCTGGCAAATAGGTCTTAGCAAATAGGTCTAACAGATTCACTGATTATGATACAGTGTTTGGTGATAGATGTTCTTTGCACTTTCGATGACGTGGAAAAACACGAGGCTGACTCCCATATAAGGCTCTCGATTCTCTGTTTCTGGTTTGGTGATAGGGCTGCTTCGATATGGATAGATGCGAGTATGGAACCTATGCCGTCATGCTGTAGTGGTGCAGTCTCGGACGAATTCAAATCCATAATCGGAACATAATCATGCCGGTGACCAACAACAGCTCCCTTCGCAAGAGGTTGTACCTCATTTCAGAAATTTGTCAGGAAGACATTTGCACACCCATCACGCAGCCGTACAATACCTCTTGCTGCACAGATTCCTTTCTCGAGTAATACCCCAATATTGCTTTCTGCCATTCCTTCATAGCCGTTGTATACATTGCTTCCTATGGTGACAACGGTGATGGATCTTGGAGGTACTGTTACATCATCGCCTGCAATCTGGAGCGCATTGAATCGTTTTTCACTCTCGAATGTCAGGACGGCGTGTTTCGGCGAAAACGGGACGCATGTTTCCTGCAAGTTTATAACTGCACCATTCGCCATCAAAAAAGTCCATTCCAATAATTACATCTTTTGAACACTCCGATAGGACAATGAAACTGGCGACGCAGGTGAAGCCTCGTATTCCGACTCTATAGGTACACATGCCTGCCGGATCGATAAGGTGTCCCCCGGCGGTTCACACTTGCAGTCCTATCCAAGGGGTCAGCACTTTTTTCAGCGTTCTGGCAAGCCCCCTGCTCATGGTGAATAGTCTGCACTTGTGTCTACCAAAGCATTCGTTTCGTAGCCGTCTATAAGTACCGGCAAATCAGAAGCGATGTTATCGTTTCCGCAAGTAGTCTCATGTCCATCATCACGTTTCTAAATCTGCTCTGGAGGTTGTTTTCTTGTGTCGGCAGCAGCCTTACCTCCACAGGTCGCCGATTCTAGTTTTCCCGAAGCGGGCTTTGGGGAAGTCGCCTTGAAGAGCTTGAAGATGGGCGCGGACTTGGCGACCGATACCTCAGTGGCGCTGTCGACCGAGACATGTTGCTGCGAGGAGCAAGCACCTTGACGCGTTGACAAGTACTCCTTCCCATTCCTTGGACAAGCAGCGTTTATGGGAAAACCCCGATGTCCAGCTAGGCGATATTCACACATCCGGTAAAGATGGCCAGCTTCTCCGCAGTGATAACAAAGCCAAATTCGATCAGGAGTGCGCCATATATCAGCTTTTCGAATCCTCGTCTCGGCTGGGGACGGCATGAATTGAGGTTTCGGCAGATGGGTGGTTTCTGAGGCGAAATAGGGTCCAGGGGCGACGAAAGAAGGTACAGGGGCGCCTCCTGCACCTCGGCGTACAAGACTGCGGGCTGCATCGAAACCGACGCTTGAACCGGCTGTGCTCGTGGTTGCTGCTTACAGACTGCCTGTCTCACTTCCTCCTCGACAACTTCCGCTAACAATGAGACCGTTGAGATGAGACCGTCCGCTAACAATGAGACCGTTGAGCTTCTGGAGCTCTTCTCGAACCACCGATCAATAGAGCTCTCGTAACAATATATTGAACTATTTCACTATCCATTTCGAGTTAGATATATCCTAGCTGGACAGAATATGATAAAATCATTCGCAATACCATTCTTAAAACTTGCTAAAATAGATGTAAAAATTCTGCCTCCTTTGTGTCAAGGAAGCATCCTTACTTTTGTTCTTTGTTGTACAATTCTCTTCGCAAAAGTGTGTTCTTTGTTTCGAAATTCCTGCCATAAAATGGCTCTCAATCTTCTCGCAGGCCTGTTATTAAGACACAGTGTGAGATGTTGAGCAGAGAAAGCGTATGATACTTTTGTTTTTCGTGCACTGTAAGTTGGCAACAGAATCCCTTGAATTCTCCCCCCCCCCCCCCTTTTTTTTCTTTTTGTCACTTGTTTTCCTATTACTGGCTATATGGCGCTTCTTGGTCGAGATTATTTGGTAGGAAAGCATTCTTTCTGGTCGCTAGCTTTACTGCAGTGCCAAAATTTGCTTTCCAATGCTGATTAACTCGCCTCCTATGCTCCATTGCACTTTGTTCTTATTTTCTTCTAATAATTAAGCACCTTGCATATTACCGGGCAACTTTCTATTTGCCATGAAAACACTTTCTTTCAACAATTAAATTTTGGACCTTCCCCGAAAAAAATCTTGGCTACGTGCCCGCATGAACCTGTCACGTGATATTTGTTTACATCTTTCCTTTGCCTGCCGACCTGCTTGACAGCTTTCCTTGGCTGAAATATAGTGAACTAAACCCTTCTAAAACACTGTAGCTGAGAGACGACGCGTGCACCCGCAGACAGGGCTGGGCCAAATTATCTCCTTTCCCATTGTCTCTCTTTTTCTTCTCACCTACATTCGTTTCCTTCCCACTCCCTATCTCTGTGCAGTGCTATTGAGGTGACTTCCACTGAAAGATGGTTCCTTCATTTTTCTCTTTTTCAAAGTCACTGCATTGATAATTGCTGTGTATGCTCAACAGCACTGTTGCGAATGAATGAACCACATCGCTGATGGGGCTCCCAATGATGAGCATGCTTGCGTGCGACGTAAGGAGTGACATAGCTAATGAAGCAGCCAATGGAGACATTTAGAATTTTCCATAGTGAACGGTTTTTCGTTTCACATACAACTTTTACTGTAAAAAGAAGCAAAAGTTCTCAGAGTCATGACAAGCATGCGACGTCACTTCTTTCCTCTGTGCCACTGTTGAGAATTTCAAAGGCTTCTATGTACAGCCCGCCAGACAGACACCGTTGAAGAAAACTAACAGGTCTTACCATCGCTGCCAAATTACACAGGTCATGAAAGGGACATCAACCGAACACCAACACAATGCCGACGGAACTGAAGTGGTTGTGCCAGCACCTTTTCCATGGCAGCCTCCATGGGACCATCTCTGATATTCTTCCTTCTTATTTTCCCTTTCCCTTTACCCTTCAATCTTCTAGCCAACTGCAACAAACCAGTCTTGAAATGAATAACGAAAAACAGAGTTGCCTTCCTTTCGTGACTTTAGCGCACACGGCCCAAGCTGCCCTGCTTAGCTGACGCATGCAGCGAAAGTGAGTCACTTATCAGGTGATAGAACTAGAGTCAGTAACGAAGTTAGGGTGAGAATAATCATCTGCAGCCGTCCCTCCCTACTTAGCTTTCAGGCACTCATCAGGGCAGGGCAAGAGACAAGAGAAAGCAATTAGTGTGTACGACAAATATTACTCCGCTAATACTTGACGGATTCTGAAACTTTTTGCGGTGGTTAATTCGTGAGGCAATAAACCTCTTTAATGAAACCATTGAATGGTTACTTAGAAAACTGTAGCAAGGCCCCTTTAACTCATAAATTCTGGAAGATTATACGTTCAGTTTTGTAGCTCAACATCTATGTGGCATCAATAGGCAGAACAGTCGGCAATTTTTAAGAGCGAGTGAATATTGAAGTTTTCAAATACAAATAGATATATGAATAAGGCAAGAAACTGCCTTCTAATATCAAATATGTCATTATCGTCATCAACCTGTCTTAGGTCCACTACAGGATTGAGGCCAATGACACACAATGACATACAGTGCTCTCCTAATGACAGATATACAACAAACTCCATTCTACCCGAGCCAATTTCATTATATGCCTGCAAATTTCGTAGTTCATCCAACTTTCTCAGAAAGATCTGCAGAAAAAAGCTCAGTTAAAACTGCCTGTCGCCTGGGCAAACCACACAGACTGAAACAGAGTACATTGGTATTTCATATTTCTCAGTGATTACAGTAAAAGATGGCCAGTTCCAGTAGCATGGAATGCATCATAAATATGCATTGAATGGTAGTATGCAGTAACTGCTAAGCACAATGTGACCAAACAGATATGTATGGTTGATGCTTTACTTTAACTAGCCTACATAAATCATCAGTAACTATAACATCTGAAATTGTCCAAATATTAATCTGTTTAATGTAAATTCAGCCCTATGTGAATTTTCTGGAAAATTCTAATAAGCACTTTTCGAATAGAACAAGCTTTGAATAATGAAATTAATTAAAATTTCAAATATTTGCACATCTTTAGTAGCAACTAAAAAGCACTGACCTTTACAACAAGCTTGTCTCCTTCATTCAAGTGCACAAGCAGCGTGATCACGTTGCTGATGACCTGTTCCACAAATGCATCTCTGAATTCTCCCTCTGCAAAGCGGGCCAGGTCTCCGAACAGCTTGAACGCTGCTGCACGCACTTCACACTTTTCCTGAGACATACATATAACAAAAATGAAAAGCCCATTATTATATTAAAATCTAAAATTGTCACTACTGTACTAAGCAAGCAACAAACAATTCTTAAATGCATGAAAAAGCAAGCAACAAACAATTCTTAAATGCATGAAAAATCACTCGGCCTACAAGAAAATTGTTTTTGTGGTAGTTCATGTGACAACTGCAATTACATTATAATTTCTGCAAACAAAAAGAGCCAACTACAATTTTTAAAAGATATTATTCAATGAAAAAGCTGTAACGATTGGAAATGCTACGGCATCAACTTTGAATGAACCATACACAAAAGCCACCATGCCATTAAAAGTACAGCAAATTTACCACCTCTAAAAAGCATTTCAATTTCTCCTGTTTTAAATAAATGTACGAGCAGCAAAGGCCTGCACATTACATTTTATAACTGAATACAGTTACACCTGTTTATAACGAACCTCCATATAATGAATTCCTCGATAGAACGAAGTTTTTCTATTCCCCACTGTTGCTCCATAAAAGCCCATGTATTTGCGACCTCTATGTAACAAAGTAACAGCGGGAGACAACCTCTATATAACGAATTTTCCCCATGGACAAGCTAAAAATTTTGGTCCACATTTTGAAATTTTATGCCAAAATGTGGCATAAAATGCCACGGCTGCCCCGCTGCCGACGAAGTGCGAAGCGGCAGCGGCGTGCACAGCGCACCAGGCGAGAGCGAGCGCTTGTTATTGCACACAGGTGAGCGTGAGGTGGGCAAGCGGGCCTGCACTACACAAGCCGGCATTGCCGCGGTTCCTGCCGCTGAGGGCGCCTGTGCGGGTGTGCCCCCCCCCCCCCCCCTCCACTCCTTATGAAAATTTTAAAAAACATATTTTGTGCGTTGGCAGTGCCACGCTTTTAGTTAGTGTCACATATGTAGGGCTGCGCTGCATATGGAGGAAGCTTTACCGAATAGTTTTCTGCAGTATCCGTGTCTGTGTCGTTCGCTCTTTGCTTTTGACACCGTGTGCGCAAGATGTGGCCCCCGACAACGTTCAGCTTTGCTTTTTTTTTTTATTGCGACAGCAATTATATTAACAGTCTTGGCTGGTTTTTCGCTGCAGCCCCCGCCATTCACCATATATGTATACGTATCTGTATAAATGAAAACTCAAGAAAAAAAAAAGCCACCCACGCTTGGGGCCTAGCTCCTCACTATGCACCAATGCTCGCTTATCTCCCCCGCATGGTTTGCCCCACAATTTGGGGGGGGGGGGGAGGGGAAGAGAGGGGTTAAATGCTTGTGCACGCTTGCTTATCTTTCGGTGAGAAGAATGGCGCTCCGACTTTGACCGGAACGATTGCATTTAGTTGCCAGATGCAGAAAGATCACTTCGCTCACTGGACAGGCGCCATTTGCGAAAAGAGTGCACTGTTCAAACACAGCAAAGTAACAACTGGGGCACTTGTTAGTTCGCAATCATATCTGTACCTGTGATTACATTTCATGCCTCGTTTCTGTTTAAACAGCGCGTTAAGTGTCGAGTGGTAAACGTTCTTAGTTCGCTCTCGTCCTGTGTATGTTGTTTTTGTGCATCATTCGTGCATGAGCAGCTTGCTGCACGTTTCGATCTGCTAGCGGTTCTGAGCGTTACATTCCAAGTTGTTGCTATCGCATTCATTGCTTCGCCCTGGTAGTGAAACTGTGACTTTTTCTTAATTTCAAACAACCATGTCACCACCACCGAGGGGATGTCAGATTATGCGCTGATCTGCAAAACTCATACAGAACGCTGGTGCGAGCAAATACGGCCGCTCCTGGGAGAAGTGCTCTTTTCACGCAGTCCCTTCCCGTTGAAACCGTACTGATACTCACCGAGATAGCAAGCGCACCAGCAATCGCGACTGCCCTTAAAATGCAAGTTCATTATAGCTACTTGAGCGACTCCCCTCCCCGCCTCTCTTTTCCGCTTGTTTCATGCTCATTCAAGATGGATGTTTTACTTTCTATTTGAGAATTCGACGGCAGTTCAAACACATGGAAGATGTTATCTTATGCATTTTACAGCCGATGTAGGGATGGTCCAACTCATTTGATCTCTGCTTCAGCAGGGCTGGCGTGCTTTTATGTGCTCGTGAAAGTTATGATGCTGGGGGGGTGTTATCAATTTGGACTTGTTACTTGTTACGGAACATGGTGGTGACAGCAAAAACCCACATAAGTGTTTTGGGTTAGCTGTGTCTTCAGTCCCCTTTTCTTTTTTTTTTATTTGCACGTTTATTTTTTGAATTTTCGTACCGAACCTGCATATAACAAAATCCTCTTTATAACGAATTTTTCCGAGAATTTGTCAATTTCGTTATATCCAGGTTTAACTGTATTCTATAGCTCAGAAAGTGCCTCAGTAAGATTTATCTTAAGTAGTTCCAATGGTTAAAGCAAAATCATTGATTCATATGTGGGGTTTAACATCCCAAAACCACCGCATGATTATGAGAGACACCGTAGTGGAGGGCTCCGGAAATTTCGACGACCTGGGGTTCTTTAATGTGCACCCAAATCTGAGTACACGGGCCTACATCATTTCCGCCTCCATCGGAAATGCAGCCGCCGCAGCCGGGATTCGAACCCGTGACCTGCGGGTCAGCAGCTGAGTACCTTAGCCACTAGACCACCGTGGCGAGGCAAAAAAAGCTAAATCAGGTACTGCATTGGCCTTCATACACTACCAAGAAATTTTAAACACTGGATTAAATGGCGTGTCTTGTAGGCACACAGTGGCTGGGCTGAGAACTGATTTGTTTTCACACACAGGTTCTAACATTGAAGCCGGAATAAACCTGGAGGTTCTAGCTGAAAGCCACTTGCAATTTCACTGACATCTGCTGGGCCAGTGTTCATTTCCACGTGACATAATTGGTTGTATCATGAAGAACTCAGACAGCCAGAACTGCTATTTGAGACCAGATAGGAGCATAGGCCTACCCAGCGAAAGCAGCAACAACTTTCGGGCCAAGCGCCTCGTGCTTAGCGCGGACGATGTGTTTGCCGAGCTTTTCATGACCCAGTACTTCTTCATTACATATTTTCCCCCTCGCTGAAGACGGAGCCAAGTAGGTGTTCTAAGGTGTCATGAGGACTAGTGGTTCGTAATACGGTCTGAGCCGATCCATGTGTACGATTTTGCGGCCTCGACGACGCAGGTACGCAGTGGGCGTGAGAGGTTCGATAAGGTAGATGACAGCAGAAGTTTGCTCTATGACGCAATAAGGTCTATGGTATCTGCTGATAAACTTTGTAGAGGGACCAGGAGCAGCAGTGGGAGGCACCCACAGGCAAACAAGAGAGTTGGGCGAAAACTGGTAGTGGGACCATCCATCGTCGTGACAAAGTTTCTGTAGTCCTTGTCCTTGTGTTGTGAGGGTACGAGCTATTTGCCGACATCCTTCCGCATACTGAGCGGCTTCAAAACCTGATGTGCCTTCGAATGAGTCGGGTCGGTAAGGGAGAATGGTGTCGATTAGAGATGATGGCTCTCGACCATAGAGTAAGAAGAAGGGAGAAAAGCCTGTCGTCGCTTGAGGTACCGTTTTGTAAGTGTATGTTACGTAGGGAAGAATAAGATTCCAGTTGGTGTGGTCGGAGGCGACATATATAGAAAGCATGTCGCCAAGAGTGTAGTTGAAACGTTCAGTCAGGCCATTTGTTTGTGGGCGATATGTGGTAGTACAGCGGTGAATCACATGGCATTCAGCGAGAAGTTCTTGAATAACATCCGCGAGAAAGACGTGGCCTCGGTTGCTCAAAAGTTCACGAGGAGCGCCGTGATTCAGAACAAAACATTGCAGCAGAAAAGACAACGTCACCTGCCGTCGCGGCTGGTAGAGCGGCCGTTTCTGCATATCTCGTCAGATGGTATTACTACAATAATTCAGCGATTCCCAGCTGATGTGTATGGAGAGGACCATAAAGGTTTATGCCAACCCAGTTGAATGGTCGCACTGAGCACGGTAACGGCTGTATTGGTGCAGTAGGGCGGCTAGGAAGCTGCTTGCGGCGTTGGAACTCTGTGCAAGATCGAATGTACTATTGAATGAATGTGTACATACCGTGCCAATAAAACGGAAAACGTAGCCTTGCGTAGGTTTTAAACAAACCGGCGTGTGCACACTGCGGATCGCCATGGAAAGCAGCACATATGCTGGCACGGAGATGCCTGGCTTTGACAAGTAGCCATTTGCGGCCGTCAGGTTGGCAGTTGCTACAATAAAGGATTCCATCACGGATGGTGAAGTGAGAGGCTTGTCGGTGTAGTGCTCGAGATGGGGGTGGGCCAAGTGTTTCAGAGAAGTAATCCATCAGAGACGCAATCCACGAATCTTTGCGCTGCTCCGAAGCCATGTCGATGGGTCCTGATAGTGAAAGTAAGTTGTCTTAGATGGAGACACTCGCAATATCAGTAGAAACAAGCGAACGAGAAAGAGCATCGGCATCGCCATGCTTCTGGCCTGAGAGATAAATGACACGGATGTCGTACTCTTAGAGTCGTAAAGCCCATCGTGCCAAGTGTCCGGAGGGATCCTTGAGGAAGGATAACCAGCACAGCGCGTGGTGATTGGTAACAACGTTGAAAGGGTGGCCGTACAGATAAGGCCGAAATTTTGTAATGGCTCAGATGACCGCTAGGCATTCTTTTTCAGTAACCGTAACGAATAATTTGCTTCTGTTCTTGTAAGAGTGCGGCTCGCGTACGCAACAACATATTCTTGGTAGCCAGGCTTTCGTTGGGCGAGTACAGCACCGAGACCGACACCGCTAGCATCCATGTGGATTTCTGTGGGAGCGCTTGAATCAAAATGATGAAGTATGGGTGGTGTTGTAAGCAGTTTACAGAGCTTTGAAAAGGCACTGTCGCAGGCTGGAGAGCACGCGGATAGATTGCGGTCTCCCTGAAGTAGGTCTGTCAGAGGTGTCATGATCGAGGCGAAATCCCGGACAAAGTGGCGGAAGTATGAGCACAGCCCAATGAAACTACGCAGTTCCTTGAGAGACACGGGCCTCGAGAACTCGCGAACAGCACGTAGCTTAGCGGGGTCAGGGAGAACGCCATCCTTCGACATGACATGTCCAGAATGGTCAGCTTGCATGCTCCAAAGTGACACTTCTTCAAGTTTACTTTGAGGCCTGCTGCAGAGAGGCAGCGTAGAACCTGTTCCCAGCAAAGAAGGTGCGTGGGAAAATCGGGCGAAAATACCACCACATCACCTAAGTAGCACAAAGATGTGGTCCATTTGAGGCCTCGTAGGATAGTGTCCATCATGCGCTCAAATGTTGCCGGCGCATTGCATAGGCCAAATGGCATCACGTTAAATTTGTATAAGCCGTCTGGTGTAATAAAGGCAGTTTTTGACTTATCATCCGGATTCATTAGCACTTGCCAATAATTAGAGCGTAGATCAAGAGAGGAAAAGAACTCTGCGCCTTGTAAAGAGTTGAGGGCTTCATAGATCCGAGGCAAAGGATAAACATCCTTTCATGTTATTTTGTTTAGACGACGATAATCTACGCATAAGTTAATCGTGCCGTTCTTCTTTTTAACTAAAACAACCGGCGATGCCCAAGGACTGTTTGATAGTTGGATAACGCCACGCTTTAGCGTGTCACCTGCTTGTTTATTGATGACACGGCGTTCATTCAGCGAAACACGGTACCGTCGCTGCCGTAGTGGTGGGTGATTACCTGTGTCGATCAGGTGGCATACAGTAGACATTCGACCTAAAGTAGCATTGTGGCCGTCAAAAAATGGCCAAAACTTGTCAAGGAGGCTCAAAAGCTCACACCTTTATAGTGGTTTTAGGCCTTCATTGATGACACAGTTGAAAATGTCAGCAGTGGAAGGGCCATTCACGCAACTACAGGAAAGGGCGCCAATTTCCGATGATTCATCACGAACGTCAAGTGTAACGATGGTTTTGAATTACTCTATTGAGCCGATACATTCGCCCCGAAGCAACATGATCGTGAATGGGAACAGATTTCCCACAGGCACGTCGGTCACACCACCTTGAAGAGTAACTAGAGCGGTTGGGAGCGGTGATAGGTGGCGATGAACGAAAGCAGTAGAAGGAGTGAAGAATGCGGTAGCGTGGAAGGCGGCAGAACACGACACAGGTGTGAAGACAGTAGCGCATGGGAAGATCTCGATGTCGTTACTAATAACCAACTTCGCGTAGGAAGAGAGACCGTCCGCAGGTAGGGCATCACCAAGGGGACAAAAGACGACTTCGGCATGGGCGCAATCAATGACAGCTTGGTGATGGGAGAGAAAATCCCGACCTAAAATGATGTCGCGAGAACAGTGCGGGAGTAATACGAACTGCGCTGTGTAGGGCATTCCTTGAATTACAGGTCTGGCGGTACACGCGGCCACAGGCTGCACAGGCTGTGCAGTGGCAGTATGAATAAACGAACCAAAGTATGGCATCTTCACTTTTCGAATTGAACGGCAAGCTTTTTCGGCGATGACAGAAATGGCGGCCCCTGTATCAATAAGGGCAAGTACAGGTACACCTTCAAGAACAGCATTAATTACATTCGGCGGCAAACGAAGAGGGCTTGTGCTTTGCGCAAAGATGCAGTTCTTGCCTCGGGAACTGCGTCATTTAGTTTTCCGCGTTGATTGCAGAGGAACATTGGCACATCGGGGAGGGCGAGGGACGACGTGGAGAAGGAGATCGGCGATCAGAAGCTGGTCGATGGCTTGGTTGAGGAGGGTGCCATTCGGAGTCTGAAGTGTAGAGAAACGTGTGGTCGTACTCATATAGATGTGGGTTTTCACGTGAGTAGAGTGGTCGGCAGCAGCACAGACATGCGATGTGTCCAGGTAGACCACACGAAAAGCAGATCAGTCGGTTGTTGGCAGAGCGCCATGGATTAGAGACTCGGTGGACTGGAGATCGTGGCGGCTGGGTGGCATAAACAGGAGCAGACAGTGAAGGCGGCGCTCGGAACGTCTGTGGTCGTGATCGTGCTGCTGCTTCGGCGTACGTCAATGGTGCATTGACTGGTGGCACCAGCTGCGGAGGAAGAACCTCAGACACTTGGTCTTGTATAATAGTCTGTAGTGTAGGACTAAGCGGCGCACTACGCTCCGGTAGACCGGAGATGAGCGAGAGTTGGCGGGCAACTTCTTCACGCACAAAATCTTTGATCTGCGAGACGAGGACGAGATCTTGCGAGGGAGTTAAGCCCGACATCGATTCCTGATGTGGGACAGCACAGCGGGTGACGAGACGTTGCCGGCGGAGCTCATCATAGCTTTGGCAAAGCTCGGTACCTTAAGCGACAGTAGCCGAGCTTTTTGAAATTAGCATCTAGAATGAGTCCTCGGCAATACCCTTAAAAATATGCTTGATGCAGTCCGCCTCTGCCATGCTCGCATCGATGCGTTCGCACATGTCAATGACGTCCTCTATGTAACTGGTGTAATTCTCACCAAGCAGTTCAGATCTTGACTGAAGGCGCTGCTCTGCACGAAGTTTGTGGACAGCAGGACAACCAAAGACTTCGCTGAACTTGGTCTTGAATGCTGTCCAGGTTGGAATATCAGTTTCATGGTTCCGAAGCCATAAGTGGGCAATGTCACTAAGGTATATGCCAACGGTGGCCTGTCTCGTGGCTTCGTTCCATTTGTTCAAGACACTCACGAGTTCCTAAGTAGCCAGCCAGTCGTCCATGTCGTGATCGTCAGTGCCGCTGAATATAGGAGGGTCCCGCTGATGGACCGTGCCGGAGCACACAATGGCCTGGGGAGCCATAGATGGAGGACTTGTGGCAGATGCAGTGGTCATGACGGCAGGTCGAGTCCGGCTTGGCAACTCCAGGATTGCGATGAGACCCAGCACCTCCACCAAATATAATAAAGAATTGAGACAGCCACAACTGCTATTTGAGACCAGATAGGAGGGTAGGCCTAGCCAGCGAAAGCAGCAACAACGTCCCAGCAGAGTGCCTCGTGCTTAGCGCTGACGATGTGTTTTCTGAGCTTTTCATGACCCACTACTTCTTCATTACAGTTGTTTGAAATTGGCATACACTATTTACGGTTTGGGTGTGTCATTGTTGCCTCCGTGCAGTTTTGATACAGGCAGGTTCACTACTGCAAAGTGTTGGTTAGGCAACAAAAATAGATTGCTAGAAATGCTTTGAAACATGTGAGAGAAACTGCTGTATGCCTGGAAATGTGAGAATTCAGGTTTAGTGTTGCAATTGGTCTTTGTTTGTTGGTTTGTGACATTTGTTTGAAAAAAAGTTGACTTCTCTGTGCGTGACACTTGGTTTACATAAAGATATTACTTAAGTTCCTCAATGCCAAGAGCACTAGCCATGTGGTTGGTGCATTGGCATTAGCATGATGTGTCAAACAACAAAGGTGAGCTTTTCTGTAATGAGCAACAGGCTACGAGATTAAATAGAGCATGGACTTGTAAATAATACAGGATACAGGCAGGCACAGTGGCACTGCTACTTTTGTCAAGTTCTAAAGGCAATGAGTCTGCCAACTTTGTCTCTACATATCAGGCTCCACAACCAGTACCTTGTAACTGCTTTTTATTCAACTTGCAGAAATGATCACAAAGATGCTTATAAGCCATAAAAGGAAAGAAAACTCGCAATATGTGGCATCAGTGCAAATGAATTACTTCAACTTGAAACTCCACCTAAGAACCCCACAAAAAATACGACCTCATTTTACTGCCTGCAACAAGCACCAGTTGGTGAACTCCACTAAAAGCTCACCTAACATCAGCATATCAAGGTAAATATATAAAACAGGCCTCCAAGACTGGTATTCAATTGTCAAGCATCATGTTCCATGCTATGCTGCACAAAACAGGTTAGTTAGTGCGGCTGGCTGGGTGTCAAATATTGGTAGCATGTCTTTAATGTCACAGACCATCTGATGTGTTTCCCTTTTGGAATGTCTGCTGTGTAACAGTAGCATGTATCATGTGGCTAGATAGAAATGAAGAGAGAGTCAAGTGGAGCATAGAAGTTAACCAACTGACACAGCCAGTACATGCAACAGCTATAGTAAATAAAAAAATGCATGACATTAAGCCACCTTTTCAAACATTGGGCGTAGCCGGAGAGCCACAGTTGTGATGAAACTTCCAACATCATGTTGATCGGCGTGACATAAAAGTGTGGCAAGTCCATTGATAGCCTCCAGCATGATCTTCTGCTCTGTGTCATCTTTGTCATCAAGACCACTGATCATGGCAGACAAGACTGTGCTAGAGTAACGATGAACCTGCACAAAACCCAAAAATAGCATACTGAGGTGCAAGTCACACTGGCTGCAAAAAACAAATTCCCGTGATTATACTAGGATTGCATCTGAAAACCAGTTGCCTACAAAATAAAATCGGCACTAACATAAAGCACTCTGTTCTTGTTTCTAACTGGACTTAAACACTTGAACATAATAATAATGAACTATATTTTACCTTTTACAGCTATATTTGGAGTTTGTGGAGCTCAAAGCTATTATGCTTAAGCGGTAAAGCCAATATATTTGCTTTTCACATGTTTACAGGCATGCATGCACAAGACATCCCATGTGAAACCTAAAATACAATGCAACACCAAGTACCTAATATAGTAACAAGATGGCATATGCTGCGATTCAAATAAAATAAAATCAATTTATTTTGCATAGCCTTTTTACAGCAAGAAGGATATACAGAAGACGAATTATTGTATATAAGCTTAAAGCAAATGTATACACACTACACTCCTTAAGACAAACTCTTTAATGCCACTTATTCAATATGCTAAATCTTCGAATGCACCTGCATCCTTTTTCAGAGGTGCAATGCTGAAAAGCTTGAAATTTCACGAGTGAAGAGCAGTTAAAGGGGGGTTACAACACCATTTGAATGAAGTAAGGAAATGTCCATAATATATTGACAATATTCCATCAATGCAAGCCAAATATCATTTTGTTACACTCCATAAAAAGCCCACAGATTCGTACAAACAGTCATTGTCTTTATGCTGTATATTTTAAGGCTCCCACTTTTACATCCCTTTTAGAAAGTTGCAAACCAGACCTGCACGACACCCTATGGATGCCAGTCATGGAGGCTGTACTGGCAAGCTGTCAAGTGGTTGCTCACATGTTTTACCTTTCTTTTAAGAAATCCAGCCTACTGTTAGGTGCAAACCTTAGAGGGTTACCTTGAGGGCTCCAGAAAAAGAAGAAAAAAATAACAGATGGGGCACTGCTACCAGCACTATTTTGGCTGAAAGGTGTGTTAATGACTGGAAAAAAGTATATATTGTGCTGTTCATATCTACATTACGAATACGGTAGGTTTATCAATAATTTCTGTGAGAACACCAGACTACTGCAGATTTAAGTTGAATATTGTGATTTGTAAAAATATGTCAGAACATTAATTCATAACTCAATCAAGACAAATCAGAAACCACCACTGTCTTCTACTCCATCCAGTGATAGTTCTAGATCAGCAAATTTAAATGAGATGACTGCACATGCAGCAAATTATGTTCCTGTGACGCAGCATCTACTATCAGATGAATACTGTAGGGTTGACAAGATAGAAGCAATAATTGAGAAAATCCTCACGTGCATCTGCAGGTCAGGAGAACACTGTGTTGAATCCCAAAGAACAAGCTTCACAAATGACACATGGCATGAGCTCCAAAACGAAGAAAGCAGACAGCAAATAAATTACTTGTACTGAGGACAAGAAATAGCCAATGCTTAACTGGAATGGCTCTAACTGCATCACAAGAGAAGGGTACAGTTGCTCAGGTTCGATAGTGTTCATGAGTCCAGTTAATTACTTTGCATGGCTCTCCAAATACCAGCCACTACAAGATAACTTTTTCTCGACTTTTCCAGGCACCATAATAAAATTAAACTAGCTTAAACGAATCTCCATATGACGAATTTCTTGATATAACGAAGTTTTTCTATGCCCCACCATTGATCAATAGAAGCACATGTATTTGCGACCTCCATGTAACAAAGTAAATGTGGGAGACAATCTTAATATAACGAATTTTCCCCATGGACGATCTCGGAATTTCGCCCCAGATTCCCCCATTTTCGTAAGAGCATGCATCTTCCGCGGGTGCACCGCTAATGACTAAGCACGAAGCGACCTCCTACGCTCAACCAAGTGACCCTGCGCCGCACGCGTTTCGCCCCCTTTCTAGCAAAAACCAGTCGCAGATCCCCCGCTCCCACTTTCTGACTGCGCTCCCTCAGCACATTCGCATGCTCTGCACATGCTGTTGTCTGGTCGCCCCTCCCCTGTGACTTGCTTCGAAGGTTCAAAAATATTTTAAAAACATTTTTACGGTGTGAATCGCACCAGAACCGAGAGCGCTTCTTTGACAACCCCTGCGGGACTAAGTAAATTAAGTCATCAAAGACGATTTCTTCGAGCGAGTGTTACGTGTGTGTCGATGGTGAACAGCCGCATTTCTATGACATTAAAAGTGAGGTGATGGTGCTAATTCTATATGTATGTCACCGGTAAAACGCGTATTTGCTGCGGAAGTCAAGTCTTCTCGGAGCTCTCGGCAAACCACCCTCGCGCTTATGCGTGCGTTTGTATATAGAGTTCAGATTTTGATTGTTTGGATGCCAAGTTTGTCATGCGGCTTTCAGTTTATTAGGAGGTCAGTGTAAAAAGCCTAAACTTACGTCTGCTCTGTTGAATAACTGGCACCAATGTAATGCGCAGTGCATAGTTTGATTAGAGTTTCCATTTTGCTGAGGTTTTCAATAGATGTTAACAACATCATATCATAAATTCAATGCCACCTTGGATTTTTTTACAGCTCCTTTGAAGCATAATGATGCGCACACAAGAAAGCATTTTATGCCCCCTTCTACGATGCATGTTTCCTGCAGCGCATGTTTCATTTCAAATAATAATAATGCCTGATCACACAGCATGCTCACCGATTTGAATGTCGCTTTGGTTGTTTAGACTGCTCACTTGGCTTTCCTCATACTGTATTATACAATACCCACTAGATTAAGCATGTTTTTGGTTACGCAGAGATTTGCCCCTGAAAACTTCACGTGATATTTTGCGAAACTATCGAAAATTTTATAGCCGCGTTTTTTTTTTTCAGCTCGTTTTTATTGCGGCAGCTGTAAATCTCCTGTGACTCAGGTGCATGCAAGGATATAAAATTTTCCGAGCCAAAACCATATTATCATTAGGAGGCACGCCACGGTGCGAGTTTACAGATTTATTCCGGGCTCCTGGCTTTTTTTTTTTTTACCGTGCACCTAAATCTATTTGAAGTGTAAGGCGCGACGACGATAAAGAAGAGAGAGCGCACACGCACTGAGCGCCACTTCTGTTCACATTGAGCGTCATCCCACCATATGCTTGAAATATTCAAAACTAAGACGCCCTCTCTGCCATTAGTACACCTAAATCTAAACACAGCATCACTACATTTCGCTTCCATAGAAACGCAGCTGGGGTATGCGAAGATCAAAGTCATGACTTTGATCCTACCATCACAACACATTAGCCTGATAAATTATCAAATCTGTTTACACCGAGCGGCAACGAGAAGCCTACAGTTCAGCTGAACAAAACACTTGAAGGGCTCAAGGTATGACAATTCAACTGCAGTGTACTAAGCTAGCAAGCTCTGCCACTGTCGCATAGCAAACGGTTGTTTCGGAAAGCCAGTGCCCAATCTCTAAATGTACAGCAGTTCTCTATTTTTTGCTGCACCTTCAGTTTACAAACGCACTTCTTTTTCATATGAGTCCGGCCATCACATTTCTCCCCGTTAATAGTTGGTAATACTGTACTCGACCAAAAATTCTTTAAAGTGACAAGACTATAGAATCCACTCTTGACGTCCTTGCTTCTCATGCTGCTCGCATTGAAAATGATGAAAATCGACAGGCAGTTTTCAACTCTTAGTCATTCTTAAACTTTTGTAGCAGCTCACAATGCAGCAGGAATGTGTTTCTGCTTTCCAGAATGACGAAGCAGCGGCGCCCATAGCATGCAAAATGCGAGGAAAAAGCCCCAAGAAACACATTTTATGCACGCAATGGGAAAACCAAGCAAGCATGACCCGTCCGAGCGACTGCGGCGAACAACGCTGCGCAAACTTGAGCCTAGAGTAATTGTATATGCTATCTACGATAGCATATACATGTACAGTTACTCTACTGAGACTGGGTCTGTGCCCGACGAGCTGGCGTTGCCGCTGTTCTTGCCGCCGCGGGCGCATGCGCAGATGTGCCTCCCCCCTCCCCCCATCCAAACAAAAGAAGACAACTACATTTGCGTTGGCAGTGCCACGCTTTTAGTTAGCCTGATATATGCAGGGCCGCGCTGCACATATGGAAGGCGCTTTGCCAAATAGTTTTCTGCATTATCTCTGTGTTGTTCGCTCTCCATTTTTGACATCGTGCGCACATGCATGGTTTGATTGCGCGCATGGTGTGGCCCCCAACCACGTTCAGCTTTGCTTGTTTATTTTTAGATGCGCACAACCGTGTCACAACCGAGTTGATGTCAGATTCGGCGCTGATGGAAACTCTCCGAGACCACGGCGACGATGAATCTTCGGAGGTCAAGTCGTCACACGCTTTCGTCTTGCGCCGTGCCGCGAGTTCACTGGCTTGTAGCTTTCGCGATTAGCCGATTAGTTCTGGCAACGACACGACGGAACGTTGAATGCAATACAAAGAAAGTGATATCAAAAAAATTGCAGTGTTATACTTAGTAAGGCTGGCAGCCAACTCTTTTGGATCCAATATTGCGGGACACCTACAAAACGCTGGCGTGAGCAAATACGACCGCTCCAGGAAGAAGTGCTCTTCATGTAATATAAGAAACACAATCATGGTGATAAAAAAAAAATCAATTGGCTCTCTTCATATCAGGGTGAGGCTGACAGCACATTCACTATAGGCCATAATGAAGGTATTCTTGACAGCGTACCTTTTTTAAAGATCAAAAATGATTTCTTAAGAGAGTTGCACCTCATAGAAAGAGACGCAAACTGTGAACAGTTTGTCTGATAAGTGTATTCTTGTCATCCCTGTCCATTTTGTAGCATCGCCTGCTAGGTGTAGCCCTGCACTTATTGCACTGAACCTGTCCCACTTGCATATCATCTACATGCCTACTCTCCACCCAGCTACCCATTCCAACCACTTTGAAGGTTATCTTTACCCCCTTGTTCTGTTGGCCTTCTCTGCATGCCTTATGGCATCCTGCAAGTGCC